CCTGGTGATAGAGCAAGACTCTGTCTCAAAAAAAAAAGAAAAAAAAAAAAAGTGCAGGTTAGACTCTAGCAGTGTTGGTGATAATGTAAAATGATGCAGCCACTGTGAAAATCAGTATAGTAGTTCCTGAAAAAATTTAAACATAGAGTTGCCAGCTGGGCATGATGGCTCACACCTGTAATCCCAGCACTTTGGGAGGTTGAGGCAAGTAGATCTTGAGGTCATGAGTTCAAGGCCAGCCTGATCAACGTGAAACCCCATCTCTACTAAAAGTACAAAAATTAGCTGGATGTGGTGGTGCATGCCTGAAATCCCAGCTACACAGGAGGCTGAGGCAGGAGAATTGCTTGAACCCAGGAGGCAGAGATTGCAGTGAGCTGAGATCACCTCACTGCACTCCAGCCTGGGCAGCAGAGTGAGACTCCATCTCAAAAAAAAAAAAAAAAAAAAAAAGATAGAGTTACTGTATGATCCAGTAATCATAATTCTAGACATATGTTCAAAAGAATTGAAAGTAGGATCTCAAAGAGATTTTTGCACACCAATGTTTATAGCAGCACCATTCACAATAGCTGAGAGATTGAGGCTACCCAAATGTCCATCAAGGGATGAATAAACAAAATGTGATATATTCATACAACAGAAAATTATGCAGCTTGAGAAGGGAAGGAAATCCTGTCACATGCTACAGCATGAATGAACCTTGAGGACATTATGGTAAGCGAAATAAGCTACTCACAAAAAGACAAATACTATATGATTCCACTTACGTGGGGTTTCTAAAGTGGTCAAAGACATAGAAACGGAAAACAAAATGGTAGTTGCCAAGGGCTGAGAAAAGAGAAAAATGGGAATTGCTCTAATTGGTATTCAGGTTTAGTTTTACAAGATGAAAAGTTCTGGAGATCTGCTGCACGATAGATACACTTAACACTACCAAACTGTACGCTAAAAAAATAAAGAAGATGATAATTTTATGTTGTGTGAGTGCGCGTGCGCACGAGCAGGCTCGCGTGTGTGTGTGTGTGTGTGTGTGTGTGTGTGTGTGTGTGTGTTTACAACAGTTTTTTTGAAAAGTGAGTTCCAGAACCTGAATCAGGATAAAGTGGTTAAAAAATACTGGTTCAACCCTATGTTAAGGAATTCACTAAAACCTCTATGTTTCATTTTCTTATCTGTAAAATGAATGCAACATTAACACCTAACTCTTGGGGTGGTTGTGAAGATTAAGTGAAATAATACACGTTGAAGCGCTTACTAAGCCCCGTTTAACTATTAGATACTTTTACTGTAAAAGCCAATTCTAACATAATTAGCATTTAGTTTTAAAAGTATATAACCCATAAATTATTGCCTGACTTTATTTTGTCTTGCTATTCTAATTTTCTTCCAATGACCTGTTCATACCAATAACATTTGTTCAGTATAGCATGAAGTCCTCTATTCATCAAGAGAGTTGTAGGCATGTCTATAGAGGTATCAATATACAATATATATTCTATATAAATTACATAATCATGGTAATGGAAAAGCCCTTCCTCTTTAGAGTCCTTGTTATTATAGAGAAATAAATAATATATTTTATTTATTTAGCTTTAATAGATGGCATAAAATCACCTCTAATAAACTCCAATAAACTCAAATTTGAATGTTTATTCATTTCAAAAAATGTCTTGAATGCTTTCTACATGCTAGGCACTGTGCTAGTCTTGACAATGAAATGATTATTTCTACATGCTCCCTTATTTCTACATGCTCCCTGTGATCATATATGTGTTGTTATTAAAACGTATATTAAGACATGAACAAATATTTTGCTCAAGGATTCACTACTGTATTGGGAGCTGGGGATGTAAAGGAAGCCGGAAAGGAGCTAAGGAATAACTTCTATCGGGAGAAAAGTTGAAAATATAACCCCAATATGGCCTCGGAGGCATAAGAATCCAGACTGCAGGAAGCATTAAAAATAATAAGCAAGCCCAGGCGCAGTGGCTCATGCCTGTAATCCCAGCATTTTGGGAGGCTGAGGTGGGTGGATTGCATGAGGCTAGGAGTTCGAGACCATCCTGACCAACATGGTAAAACCCCATCTCTAAAAAATATACAAAACAATTAGCTGAGTGGGGTGGCCCGCAGCTGTAGTCCCAGCAACTCAGAAGGCTAAGTGAGAGAATCAGTTGAGCCCGGGAGGCAGAGGTTGCACTGAGCTAAGATCATGCCACTGCACTCCAGCATGGGTGACAGAGCAAAACCCTGTCTCAAAAAATAACACTCACAATCAGCCTAAGATAGCCCAGGAGAGGTAGACTTCAGCTAATTCACCAGCTCAACAATTAAACCAATGCCTTTTACCGATGTCTTCTCAAACCCCTGAGGTTACAATATTTTATTTATTCATAATACCCAGTTGAAATCCATCATTAGAGAGGCAGCTGCTTTCTGAAAGCACAGTTCTTCCATTCCTAGAGATTATTTTCCTTCCTGTCCTTGAAATTTGTTTGGCTACTTTACCTGTGCAGTTAGAGACCCTGGAGCTGTAGCCAATTCCAGCAAGCTAATCAGAGCCAAGCGTCCCTCCTTTTATGCTCTTTAGAAATATAAATCCCAATCCCAGGAGCCTCTGCAGTGTGAAGTCACAAAGCATGCCTGCATTTAAAGCAGAGAAACGAAATAAGCGGCCCTTGTCTCACTTTTCTTTGTGGAACAAAAGATTTCTAGCTACTAGTTAAGGTAGGACAGTAAACTTACATCATTTTGTGAGAACATTAATCTTTATGACATATAATCTAAAAATAATACAATTTTTCTAATTCATTAGGTCAGATACAAGGATCGTCATCACTGTTACAACTACCAGTGGGTGTCAGAAGAAAACGAAGAGGCACATCACACTGCTTACCTTGTGTTCTCCCCAAGCAAGAGCTTTGTCCACCTTGAGCCCATCCCTCATGAGCTACCCTGTGGCCAAACTCAGAGAATCCAGGCACATTATATTCTGAAAGGAGACGTCCTGCAGGGGCTGAAGAAGTTCACCTTCTATTCTTTGGTGAGAAGGGAGGTCACTGTGGTGACTTCTCTGCAGACAGAAATTCTCTGAGGAGCAAGTAATCATGAAGCTCTTTAGATGTCATTACTTCGACTTCTTATCCATGTTCCTTTTGAAAGTTTGACTTCTCTTGAGGCTAATTATTGCCAGCAGGGACTCAATAAGACAAGTATATCGAAGTGAGACTGAAGCATGTTCTCTGTTTGGCACATTCAATTTCTTTCTATTTCCTTTTTTGCAGTTAATGGCAAAGGGAGGCATTGTCTACACTGGGACTCATGGACTGCTTGTGAAGCAGGGAGACAGTGAGTATTTCCGTCATCTCTGCATTGCTGCCCCATTCCGACCTATTCAGCCTTACACCACAGAAGCGTCAGGAACACTTCTTCTTTTATTTCTATGGGTTTTGGGGGGAATAGGTGGTATTTGGTCACATGAATAAATCCTTTATTGGTGATTTCTGAGATTTTGGTGCACCCATCACCAGAGCAGCATACACTATACCTAATTTATAGCCTTTTAGTCCTCACCCCTCCCACTCTTTCCCCTGAATCCCCAAAGTCCATTGTATCATTCTTAGGAATTTGCTTAGCTCCCACTTCCTAATAGCTTAGTTCTCACTTCCTAATAGCT